TACTTGCAATGATGACGTCGGGTACGATAATTAATTAACACATTGTACATCTTGGATTTTGCACCGTCAGAGGATGTAAAAAGAATCCATGAAATAACAAACATATTAGGAATGCGTGTCAAAATCGAAGAGTACAGAAATCCAAAACAAATGCCCCAGTACAAAAGATGTCAAGGTTGGCACCACACCAAAGTTTATTGCCACAAAAATCCGAGATGTGTTAAATGTGCTGGTCAACACTGGACCAACGAATGCACTAAAACCAAAGAAATCCCGGCTAAATGTTTCAACTGTGGAGAAAATCATCCAGCGAACTACCGAGGATGCATTGTGATTAAGGAACTACAAGCCATCAGGAATAAGAAAGCAACAAATTCAAATAAAATGCCGAAAAAGCGAGTGGTGAAACTGCAAATTTATACTTGGAGGAGACTTTAATGCAAAACATATGTCTTGGGGTTCTCGCTTGACAAATACAAAAGAAAGAGAACTGAACCATGCAATAGAAGCCCTAAATTGTGAGGTGCTCTCCACTGGGAAGCCAACTTACTGGCCAACAGATAGAAGTAAAATTCCGGACCTGCTTGATCACTCACCAGTAATTATTACTCTAAATAACAAAGTATGTAACAAAGAACCCTTTTTATCACTAACTAATAAACTCAAAGATACATGGCAGCCCTTAACTCTATCCCACCTGTTCATAAACTTTTTGTGGCTAAAATCTTTAATTATCTCAATCTGAGTTGATAACTGCGGCCTTCTCCATTGTCAGATGACAACCCATAACAAGTCCTGAGGTAATTGTTATTCTACTCAGGGCTAAAATAGCTTGTCTACTGTCAGTGTAAATTGAAAAAGTCTATATTATGGGTAAAGCAGACTGGACCACTGGGAAAAGCTGCAAAACATTCAAGTTTAATTAGTTATTCATAGTGTTCATAGTTCCTGAAATATTCAATTGTTTTTCCAAAATGTAATGGGCACATTGCAGGATCTTTTTAAAAACAATGTAAAAACGACATTCTTTCCAATTTTGCATTGAAACTATGTCAGATAATAGTCAAAGCCAGTAGGTAAATGGTAGTATCCAAAGATACGCTATACAGCGTGTTCATAAGGCTTAGTTACTTTTGATGTTTTTTAAATGGTACATACTGTATATTGTGTGCTAGTTGAATTGCCCATCAAGATACCTTTAATAAACGATAAATATGTTATATATCTAACTTAAGTAGTTTTCCTGATATATAGAATTTAAAAAAGTATGTGTGATAAAATATGCGTTATTGCACTTAATATTATATTCTGTCTATTTTTATCACTTTTTTTGTTCTTCCTTTTATTATTTGATTAACATTTTATAATGTAAAATAATTTTGCTGCCATATACCAAATTTTAATATATTATATATTTTACGTTATATATTTTAATATACCATGTAATTTACGACTTTAGAGAAAATAATATACACATGTTAAGAGATACCTCAAGATCTTTTATACAGCGCATTAATACTTGCAGAAGAGAAAATGGGCGGCATTTTGAACAACTTTTCAATATTAATTAAGTTAATACCTACTTATTGAGCAACGTTTAGTAATTGTTTATAGTATGTTGCCGCATTTCCTTCAAATAATTTAATAATTAAAAAAGGGATTTATTGTTCTGCCATTTAATTGTATTTTTTGTATTTTTATCACGTTTTGATTATCTATTTATTACAGTTTTTTTTTTAATTGTATTTTAATATAATATTGCTGATTTACAAATGACAGACAAACAAAAAAGAAAAAACAAAAGAAAAGTAACAAAAAATATTACATTCTGTCACTTTTTTAAGTACAATAATGCCACTTTAATACACATTTTTCTTTAAATTCTAAATATCACGAAAACTATTAACGTTAGACATATGACATACTTATCATTAATTAAAGGGAACTTGATGAGCAATTCAACTAGCACACAATATACAAGGTGCCATTCAAAAAACTTAAGAAAAAGCCATTCGAAAAACATCAAAAGTAACTAAGCTTTATAAACACTCTGTATAGTGTATTTAATATCTTTGAATACTATCATCTACCTACTGGATTTGACTACTGTCTGACATAAATCGGAAAAAATGTCGTTTTTACATCATTTTCAAATTTAGTTGCATTCATAATATGATAAAATATACAGGGTGTTCAATTTAAATAAATTTACGTACTCTCCGTTACGCTTAATGGAACACGCTGTATAAGTGAAAATAATTTTATGTAATAGAAAGTGATGAGTCAAACAATTTTTATATAAAATATTTTTTTGGTTTTTTGTTGATCTAATAACTCATCCTGTATATAACTTTTTCAAATTTAACTTATTTGATGTGATTTTTCTAGTTTCCAATTATACAGAATATTTTGGACCCAGCCACCTATACGATTTTATTTTATTTATTATATATTTCTCCTGAAGATTGCTTTATAACCGAAATCGGTTTTGATTTAAAAATGATTTTTGAGTTTAGTGAAAATGATGATTTAGTGAAACGAATAAAATGAATATTTCTTGATTCCGAGTTAGGATAGACGACGGAAATCTAGAATCAATCGTCGATATGTGGAAATAATAGCCTCACGTCCGGATCTGCGCGAAATCCGACGCGAAGTTCCGCTAATGAACATGTTTATTGAATTCGATTTGTAAAAGCGTGCCCTCCCCGCTTTTTGATTAATGGAAAGAGTCGCTGCCGCCGGGGGAGATATCAATCCCTACGGATACGTGTCTATCCCTTATTCATCAAACCCTCAAAAGTTGCTTCATCCATTTCGCGCCATTCGTGGACCCTTTCTAAAGATTCGAACAAATATTTAAACGTTTATCTTTAAGGGGAGCTGTGTATGTATGCAGTTAGAAAACAATATAAAACGACGTGGCGGATCATTCTCAAGGGGGCAAGATACAATGGAACGTTAAAATATTAAAGACTCTGACGTCAAAAGCGCACTGAACTACTTCCAACAACCCATTTCGTAATAGACGATAATGAATTGATGGTGTGGGTAAGTTCGGTTTATATCGGAAATGAGACGTAATTAAAAGTTTGTCATCTTCATTTTAAACAAATTGTTAGATAATGTATACCGTATCGCTGCGTCACGTTGGTGGTTGCGGTAACAATGTACTCCGCAGGGTTTAACGTTAGTTTAATAAATTTAGGGGGGCAAATTGCATACTCTCTATCGATCCAGTTTTATATTGGAACGGGGCCGTGCCCTTAATATATTGTCGACCCCGGACGCTGAATTAACAAGGTGACAAAATCCGCGTTATCCGAAAATAATGGCGCCTTTCACTCCTCCCCTAATCCAAAGGATTACGTGAATTAACAAAGAATTATCAAGCTCACTTCATAAATAACCGTACTCGAAGTTAACGCAACTGAAGTTAATGTAACTGAAGTTAACGTCATACGCCCCGGTTCAACATCCAACGAGCTGTGAAACGGACTATTAGTTATTCTATTTTCACATTTTCCTCCTTTTAAAATATATTAATAAATAACATTTAATTACATTTAAGAACATTTTTACGATTTATTCTTAAAACGCGAAATACACCGCCCTAACTTTGACTCCCCGACTACACAAAAGGAACAAGATATTCCGGAATAAAGTAGGAGGAGACGATACGGGCTCTCATATACAATGGCAAACGCGGATTTCTATATTTCTGTATTGGATAATGGCCAAGAAAAGAGGAACTGTTTTATTTTTATTAAATCCTTCCCTTAAGATGAATGTCTTTAAACCTATTGTATTCTATTTTTTGGACGCACTAAACGCCCAACATCTATACATAGCAATATTAACTATTGTTTATTTAAATAGCATATGACAACGTGATTTATTGTTTCCTCCCAAAATATATTATTATGTCGTGAGAAATAAAATAAAATATTAAAATAAAAATCATAACATATATATAAATATATATATATATATTAATAAAATTACAATTTTTTTTCTAATATATATTTATTATATAATATTATATATAATAAATATATATAATTGTATATATAGTAGAATTATTAATTTGATTTATTGTGTCCTCCCATAAATACATTATTATAGTGAGAAATAATATAAAAAATTAAAATAAAAATCATAACATATATATAAATATATAATAATTATATAATTATAAATATAAATAATATAATATATAATATTATATACATATAATTGTATATATAGTAGAATTATTAACTTGATTTATTGTATCCTTCCAAAATATATTATTATGCCGTGAGAACTAAAATAAAAAATTAAAATAAAAATCATAACATATATATATAATATATAATAATATATATATATTAACAAAATAATAATTTGTTTTTCTAATATATATAGTAGAATAATTGTTGTTTGAAAGAATTAATGGTGATAAAATCATGGTTTTGTTGTTTACAAATTATGCGTGCAAGGGGGCACAACTAATTAATGCGTTTTGAAGCCGCGTCTACAACTAAAAATAGAGGGTTAACCGTGTGCCAGTTTAGAATAGCCACGACGGTGACAAGGAACTCGCAAGTATTTGTATATGAAGATATAATTATCAGATATTCTTCGTACACCGAACTTTTACGGTGAAGTTATTTTAGTCGCAGCAGCAAAAAGTGCTAGAACAATAACTAATAAAGCGTTATTTGTACGTTTGAAGGAAAAAAATTCAGGTTGGAAGTTTACGATTGTGATACAAACACCAGAGGCGCGTTACCTACAACGGCTGTCATCATGTGTAGTAGTGATAAATTGCCCTACGGCCAATCACAATTCATCGTGTCGAACATTGAATAACTACGACACTCGCTATTTGTCCAATTCACAAATTACTAATAGCCAGACGTAATTTCATATTTCAATAACAAAGGTTGCATTGAAAAAAGGCCCTATTTCTCAGTATGTCTTTTTTCAAAAAATGTTATCACAATCACTAAATGTACCTGTATCGGTCCAGAGGAGGCAAAATATGTAGAAGAACGCCTGGTAGATCAAGAACGGGTACATCTTCGATGTCACCAAGAAGAAATCACTTGAAGTTAAATAATTTTTGGCGAAAGTTTTTCACTCACAACGTAAAACTGTCACCGGCTCAAGTCTGTTTCGTAGGTTAGTCCCCACCACTTTCGGTTTCGATAACAGCCTTATAGATGTCACACTCGTCAAATGGACGAGAGAAAATGAAGAGGTTCTGCGACGTTCGCGGAGTCAACAGTGGTGCTCGCGGCGTCGTCCTGAGTACCTAGCGTCGTCGTTAGAACTGAAACCACGGCGCGCTCGTCGCATTTATAGAGGGAGAGTACCCGCCAAACGAGTCTTGCGCCCTCTGGGCTAGAAAGCGCGCTGGCTACGAGGCGCGGAAATCGATCACGCGCCCGCAAAACTGAAAACCAGCCGAAACTTGCAAAAATTAGCGCAATTAACCCGCATGGACACTTTTTGCGACCTTTCACCGTCCCTCTACTATTTGCCGTTTGTCCAGAATTTTTGATAGCACGAGATCCATTATCTTTTATGAACGCTGAAACGAATTGCGTCACTATTTACAATGTTCAACCCATCCATAATTCAATTCAAAAAACATCCCTTTATTATTTTAATAAGAAACATTTTTGAAAAATTACCTTCATTTATCTGGCAAACGTCGAAGATGTAAAGTAACCCATCGATATCATAAAATCAACTTTGCATAAACGATGAAAACAGATTTTACTGCATCTTATAGACATATTGAGCAATGAAAATTTGTGTTATGGCTTACTAGTTTAACTTTTGACTAAACACTGACTATATTAGCTCTGCTTTTAGTACAATAATAATATACAAGAATCTGTCAAAACTAGAACTAGAAACATTCGGGCTTAGCCATGCGACTCCTGAATGTTGAAAGAGCTTTGATACCTAGAACTATTCGTTTTCTAGCTATTTTAATTATCATTCTCATTCAGCATCAATAAGTTTTTTAAAATCGTTTTCGATTGTACAAGCAGCATACTTAAAAATTTGTCTAATTACGCTTCAAATGTTCACATGTCTATCTTATACAGGTTGGTCAAAAATGGAATTACCAATTTTCGATACTTAATTGCAAAAAATCGAAAGATTAAATGGAGTGCCCATATGTTATTTATCTAGCTTAAAGATTCTTGTTTATGATATGATATAAAAACTATGATATAATATTATTGTAATTTCCAGGAAAAAATTGTTAATTTTATAAATCAAAAATAATACGAAATTTACAAAAAATCATATCGACTGTATTTTTAAGGGTATTGATATGATATGTATGTTAAATTGTAGCTTAAATATTCTAGTTTATGATATGATAAAAGAAGTTTATGATAATATTATAGAAATATCGAGAAAAAAACTATTAAAGAAGAAATTGTCAAGTTTATAAATTAAAAATTATACGAAATTTTCAAAAAATCATATCGACTGTATTTTTAAGTATCTTGATATGATATGTATGTTAAATTGTAGCTTAAAGATTCTAGTTTATGATATGACAACAAAATTTTATGATAATATTATTGAAATATCGAGGAAAAAACTATTAAAGAAGGAATTGTCAAATTTATAAATCAAAAATAATAAGAAATTTTCAAAAAATCATATCGACTGTATTTTTAAGGGTATTGATATGATATGTATGTTAAATTGTAGCCTAAATATTCTAGTTTATGATATGATAAGAAAATTATATGATAATATTATTGAAATATCCCAGCAAAAACCATTAAAAAAAGAATTGTCAAATTTATAAATTAAAAATAATACGAAATTTTCAAAAAATCATGTCGACTGTATTTTTAATGATCATGATATGATATGTATGTTAAATTGTAGCTTAAATATTCTAGTTTATGAAATGATAAAAAAGTTTATGATAATATTATTGAAATATCGAGAAAAAAACTATTAATGAAGGAATTGTCAAATTTATAAATTTAAAATAATACGAAATTTTCAAAAAATCATATCGACTGTATTTTTAAGTATCTTGATATGTTAAATTGTAGTTTAAAGATTCTAGTTTATGATATGATAAAAAAATTTATGATAATATTATTGAAATATCCAGGAAAAAACTATTAAAGAAGGAATTGTTAAATTTATAAATCAAAAATAATAAGAAATTTTCAAAAAATCATATCGACTGTATTTTTAAGGGTATTGATATGATATGTATGTTAAATTGTAGCCTAAATATTCTAGTTTATGATATGATAAGAAAATTATATGATAATATTATTGAAATATCCCAGCAAAAACCATTAAAAAAAGAATTGTCAAATTTATAAATTAAAAATAATACGAAATTTTCAAAAAATCATGTCGACTGTATTTTTAATGATCATGATATGATATGTATGTTAAATTGTAGCTTAAATATTCTAGTTTATGAAATGATAAAAAAAGTTTATGATAATATTATTGAAATATCGAGAAAAAAACTATTAATGAAGGAATTGTCAAATTTATAAATTTAAAATAATACGAAATTTTCAAAAAATCATGTCGACTGTATTTTTAAGTATCTTGATATGTTAAATTGTAGTTTAAAGATTCTAGTTTATGATATGATAAAAAAATTTATGATAATATTATTGAAATATCCAGGAAAAAACTATTAAAGAAGGAATTGTTAAATTTATAAATCAAAAATAATAAGAAATTTTCAAAAAATCATATCGACTGTATTTTTAAGGGTATTGATATGATATGTATGTTAAATTGTAGCCTAAATATTCTAGTTTATGATATGATAAGAAAATTATATGATAATATTATTGAAATATCCCAGCAAAAACCATTAAAAAAAGAATTGTCAAATTTATAAATTAAAAATAATACGAAATTTTCAAAAAATCATGTCGACTGTATTTTTAATGATCATGATATGATATGTATGTTAAATTGTAGCTTAAATATTCTAGTTTATGAAATGATAAAAAAGTTTATGATAATATTATTGAAATATCGAGAAAAAAACTATTAATGAAGGAATTGTCAAATTTATAAATTTAAAATAATACGAAATTTTCAAAAAATCATATCGACTGTATTTTTAAGTATCTTGATATCATATGTATATTAAATTGTTCCTTAAAGATTCTTGTTTATGATATGATAAAAAAAATTATGATAATATTATTGAAATATCGAGGAAAAAAACTATTAAAGAAGGAATTGTTAAATTTATAAATAAAAAATAACACGAAAATTTCAAAAAATTATAACGACTGTACTTTTAAGGATACAAGATGATACGTATATTAAATTGTAGCTTAAAAATTCTAGTTTATGGTATGATAAAAAAATTATATTATTGAAATATCCAAGAAAAAATTGAAGTGAACAAAATTTGAGAAGTTTAGGTACAATGAAAGCAATAGGTGTTGCTGACTTTTTGGTAGACACTGTATATATATATATTGTAAGATATGTTCAGTAATTGGCTTTTATTTTTAAAGTCGTATAAGGAGATGTAGGAAGAGAGGAAAAAAGATGTCCATTGGAGTTTTCCGGGTGATTCAGAGAACACTACCGGACGTAAGGAGAATTTAGCGTTGCCGGAAAATGTAACAAACTGGCTTTTGGAAGGGCCGCGACCCCCAAATGCCCCATTCTGCAAGTCAAACGGAAGTGAAAAAAATTAAAATTAATTTTTAAAATTTTCCGTTCTCCGTCTGGACTATTCGGAATCTAATAAGACGCTTAAGTGGATTTGCCACGAATAAATTAAGCTTCGGATGGTAACTATAAAATGGAGATGGTAACGACTTAATAAAAAAAAAAATATTCAGAATATGATTTTGAATACAAGGATTAAATTTAATAGTGGAAGAAGGAGATGGATTGTAAATTATTGAATGCCAAACGAATCAACCACATATTAATTTATGTGGTTTATTGACGCAATATCAGGGCAAGGGTGTTATTATCGAGTTTAATTAGACGCATAACTACTAAACCGCGGATATTATTTCGTCGTTTGTCAAATTACAATTGGCTGTAACCTCGAATGGTGACCGCAAATTCTATAAGTATTCAGTTCAACACATAGGGTAACTCAACGATAATATCGTGGTTTAATTTTCGAAATCCACGAATAGGGCTTTTAAAATATTATATTCGCGTAAACTCTCGTTCCACAAATGGGATTATTTATACGGCCTATTAATAACGGAAAGGGGCCGTATCGTCATAAATATAATCGCAAATCGCGCGTCGCAATAAAACGGAAAAAATCGGCACGAAATTGTTTCGCACCTGTCGATTTTTTTTTTCAAACCATTAACGAAAAAAATTTAATTTTAAAATATCCACCCATAAAGCGAGGGCAATTGAGACAAAAACTACAATCCCAGTTAAATCGCAAACATTTTATTTACCTTTTAATTTATTCATACAAAACCCAATTCGTTACGGAACGTTTCAATTAAGCGAAATAAGTGAAATACCAAATTACACGTCCCGTGCCGTATTCCTTAATTCTCTAAATATTTCCCGCTTTAGCCCGAAAATGGACGCGATCTTTATCGCACGCAATAGAATCATAAAGTTGTTCTTTCTTTTCCGTGAATAAATGTTGTGGAACTTTCACAACATTTATTTTATTTTTGGCACGCTTATTTATTATTATAAATTGAATTTAATACATCATTAAAAGTACACGATAACGAAAACTTTGATATCTGCGATAACGACGAAGAAGCTGAGATTCCTCATTTAAGTGCAGGCACGTCGCGGCGACCCGTTAATACCAAAAATCGATCTCGGCTTGTGTTACGACCATTAATGCCTCGTTTGTTACCATCAAATTGTGCCCGATTATCGCCGCCCTGTTATAGATTATAGATTTTCGAATCGGCTTTCTCAAATTGACTGGGTATTAATGCTGCCGTTCAATCGTCGCATAACCCAAATTTTCCCAAGCATGGTCCAAGACGTTTAATATATGCACGATATAATGATATTTTAGTGAAAACTTAAATCAAAAAGTGAATCACAAGACGTCTAATAACTGGGTATTATTATTATTGCAAGTGTAAATCAGTGAAATGTCCGCAGGAACAATCGATGATTTGTTATCTTACCGAGGTTAGTTTTCCTTCCAGGAGTCCGGAATTAATCTACAACGAACTAGTCTGGTATTGCAGGCATTTCCATTGTCCACTTCAAATACGCAGCATTCCGACGATGTACTCAATACATAACCGAATCCGGTGTGGCTTGTAGAATTGTAGCTAAGG